GATATTTTGTATTATATTTCTTATTAGTAAAATATAGGTTTATTTTCATTTACAAAAAGTCTTTATCTGCTCACGTTTTATGTTAGGTATTTTTTTGCACACTTTTCAAACTACAAAAGTGTTTTTTTACATTTCACCCTATATATATTACTAACGTGAATGGATTCTTTGCCTTTATTTTAACCTTATCTGAATAGATTATTTCCTCACACTTCTTTCATTTTTTTTTTCTTTCTTTTGTTTCAATTGTCTGTGACATTGCTCAAAAAAGGAAAAGATGGTAACCAGTAGGGTTGACGAACCCGGAAAGAATCTGCTCCAATATTCCTAGATGTTCAAATAACAAGATAAGGAACGATGAGGTACAATCAGTTTTAGAAAAAAAGAACTCGAATATTGGAATGGGAAGTTAGAGACATAGTTAAATCAAAAGAAGATCTTGGTTATTTGGTGGTGGAGAGAGAGATTGGATTGTATGAAAAATAAGATTTGGTTTGGTAAATCATATATATATATATATATACACACACACACACCATTTAGAGAAATGTTATTAAAAGAGTATTTTAATTTAAAAAATTTAGCTTTTTAACGCTCTATACAAATAGGAATACCCTATTAATTATGGCTGTTGTGATTGGTTTGCAACAACGAAGGTAAAAGGGTGACTGTCCTTAATTCGTAGTCGCTCCACTTCTATATATTTATAATTACAAAAATGTTATTTTTGATAACAAGTATATATCAGACAAAAAAAAATCAACTTCTACGTGGCAACAAACTATTTGGACGCAACACACTCTCTCTCTTTTCCTCCGCTCACAACCCTTCCCTCTCATTCCTTTTCAAAACCCTCCCATCTCTTTCTTCACGTGTTATCGGGTGACGACAGTAAATTGAAATGGCGCTACTGAACTATGACGAGGCTGGCGACAGACTGAATTTCGAGCAAGGAGTCCGGCGGCGGCAAAGAGGAATTGCACCGGCAACTCAAGGAGGAAACGTAGTTCCGACGAGAATGAATGGCAGCGACAGACTCAAATACTGGGAAAAAAATACTGGAAAAAAATCAATTAGAAGTCAAACTCAGAATAATTCTAAGAAACTTCTAACCAAATATATAAAAGGTATATGCGGTAAATAATTATGATACATAATATAAACATATATACATCTCAAATACTATAAAGAATAGATTAATTACAAGTCTAACTCAATAATTCTTATTCTGACGAACTTTGGAGCTTTAACGTTAACTTATGGCGTCCACAAACATTTACTAAAAGATGATCAATTCCAAAATTGTCCTAGTTCTGTTGTTAATTCCATATTTAAAAAATAATAATAATAATCAATTCAACTTTAATTTGCTCATATGGGTTCAATCAACGTATAACCATTGTGGCAAATTACAACAGAAAAATCCACTTTTGCTCTCTACAACTCAGCCATATGCTTGTTCTTCCGGTTGAAAACTTAATTCTAACATTTTTACAATTATTCTCCTGGATCAAGCTTCATATGTTTAATTTTATTATTGTTCTTATTTATTTATGTACTACTCTAGAGAATGAATGAGAATTTATAGCATTGCTCACAATTTCATTGTGATTGGTTGACGTAGCAGAAAGCGATATAATGTTCACAAGGAACAATGATTACCTTGAATTCACAAGATAGGTAGTTTGAATCCACAAACTAAAAGAAAATTAATAAATAATTCTAAAATATTATTGATAAAAGGTTAAAGTTTGCTCTTTTAGTACATGAATATTTATAATAGAGAAAACTTAACACTAGAAGAAAATTAAATCTAATCCTACAAGAAAACTAATCCTAAAAATAAGCATAAAAATAAAATTTCTCTAAAAAATCTGAAAAAATAGAATAATAAACCTAGTAAATAAAAAATGATAAATCTAAAATTTTAGAGCAATCCGAGTTCGTTAAGGCCTTGAACAAAAATCCTGAAATAATTAGTAGGCCTTGTCTAAGACGATAAAACGCGATTTCGGAGCCTTAAACGAATGTTTTCAGCCAAAAAGTAGCATGTACAAGGTATAGCTAATGGGTTTTTTTTCAATGCATCGTTTCCACCCAAAAAATGCTATTGGTATGTCGAAAACAGACTTGTCGAACTGTTCAGAATTCTGTCTTACATCAGTCCCCTCTACTTCAAAAAAACCCGTCCTCGAGTTTGACTGCAAATAACATGAAGTCTCACCTACCACAAAATTATACTGTACATCGCCATGAGAACCTCACAGCACCAAAGTATCTCCATTGGCACCTTTCGGAATTAAAACTTCTTCACTGACAATATGCTTAAATATTGATATTTCACTAACTTGAAGCCTGAATTCTTCCATACCATTTTGAACATCTGATTTGGAAAAATCATTAAGCCGCTGATCATTAATTAATTCTTGTTGCTCAATTTCAACATCGAACTCCTTGTCACCATCTTCTTCTTTTGTTGTGCTAAAGCGCTTTTCTACATCTACCAACTCTTGCAAAGGAATTAATGTTTTCACATCCTTGACTTCATCTTCTTCAACTACGTACAACAGGTGAAACAATATAATTTTGCTTTTGATCAACCTCAATAATATCAGTCGTTACCTCAACAAAATTATTATTATCCTTGATGTCACTATATTTTTTGTAAATTTTCTTTGTATACTTTTTGACATATGGACTCTCATTTCGACGATTCCGATATTTTTGATACATTGTTTCCTCATAATTTGGTGGTATAAATTTATCCATGAACATCCGTTTCATCTTATACCACAACCGAATAGGATGTGATTCTTTCTTCCTTCGATAAAACTATATTTATTCCCACCAAGTTAAAGCCCAACCTTTAAGGTTGAAGGCAACAAGCAGAACTTGCTTACTTTTAGGTACATCAAAATATTCAAAAAATTCTTCAATTTCTTCAATCCAGTCCAAGACATCTTCAATAATAAAACTTTCATTGAAAATAATAAAACCTCCATTGAACATAAGTAGATCAAGTTTTACCTGAAATTCACGATTGTTGCGTTTACCTTGATCACTGAATATGAACTCCTCATCATAGGAAATTAAAATCATCGAAATAATCTACATATGCTGGAGGCTTACATGGATAAACAAGAACATAACCTATATTCGGTTGGCTGCGAGACATATCATTAGCACGAACTCGAACTGAACCACGAACCTGATTGCTACCAATTCCAAAACCAGTTGCTACAAACCGATCTTGTGTATGCATGGCTACCCAAGGAGCCTTCACTCTGCGATCATCATCGGCAAAGTGGGTGATAACAAAACAAGCAATCGTCATCAACCCAAGATAAATCAAGTCTCTTATACCAACTGACGTAGCGGGAAGCGATAGAATGTTCACAAAGAATGAGGGTTACCTTGAATCCACAAGATAGGTATTTTGAATCCATAAACTAAAAAAAAAATCATAAAAAATTCTGAAATATTATTGATAAGAGGTTAAATTTTGCTCTTGTAATACATGAATAATTATAATAGAGAAAGTCTAACACTAGAAGAAAACTAAAATCTAATCTTACAAGGAAACTAATTCTAGAAATAAGTATAAAAATAAATTCTCTTTAAAAAATCTGAAAAAATAGAATAAGAAACCTAATAAATAAAAAATACTTAATCTAAAATTTTAGAGCAATCCGATTTCGTTAAGGCATTGAACAAAAATCCTAAAATAATTAGTACGCCTCATATAAGATGATAAAAAGCGATTTCGGAACCCTAAACGAAGGTTTTCAGCTGAAAACCAGCATGACCCACAAGCTAAAATTAGTGGGTATTTCTCAATGCGTCGTTTCCATCCAAAAAACAATATTGGTTTGTCGAAAACGGACTTATCGCACTACTTATCGAACTGTTTAGAATTACGTCCTAGATGAATTGAAATTTCACAAAAAAAAAATGAACAATCCGAATATTTTCTTAACAGGTTTTGGTTTTAATATATGCTAATATGTATGATCTTTGATGATTCTGTTGGAGTAAAAAAAGAAGCATTTAGAGAGAGAGCAAAAGAGGAGAAGACGTAGTTGGAGTAGTAAGGGGTAATTCTTGTCATTTTCTTAATAAATGTATAGGAGTGGAGTGCCTAAGTTTGACTTTGGAGCTCCAATATCTCCACCCTTTAATTATGTATATGAAAGTCATTGACAATTAACCTCTTTGACACGTTCAACTATGCAAACTTGTTTTCCCTAGTTATGTTCACTGAGTTTGTGATGTGTATTTGCTACTACTTTGTATTAGCTCAGGATTCGTTATCTGTGTCATCAACCAATTGTATCATATCATATAAATAAAGTGCTTTATTTTAGTGAGTTCTATTACTATGTGTCAATATTTAATAAGTTGGTGATATTATGTCATCACTACAACCGACGCAATTAACTTTTTCTTAAGAGCTAGGTAGGACTGGACTATGGAGGACTAGGGATCTGATTTGAACAAAAATATGGTTTGGTGGCCTCGAACAGTGATCTCAAGCAAGGCTCAATCAACTAGCTAAGACGCTTTGGTTCTTCTTGTAATCGAAAAATAAAAAGTTTGCAAGCTTTTGATTAATTGTTTTCTTTTTTTTTCCTATTAGAAAGTGAACACAAATTGAATGAAATTAAGGAACTATGTAAACTCTCTCGTCTAAAAGATCATAAATAAAATAATATTTTAGTGTGACATAAAGTAACGTGATTTGTATCACTACCCTTCCGGATGCACTAGGTGACTCAATAACATTCAGGAAACTAAATAATTTGCGTGGTTATTGATTGCTAGTCAGTCTATGTTAATTTTAAGTAGGTAAAAATCTAGATATATGAAGAATCCAAGCGCTGTCACTTGAAAAATTTAAAACTAATGAAGGGGTGGTCATGGTGTCCTTTAGAATGAGATTCTACGGTCTACCGTGTGTAAATAAAACAAAGTCCAATTAATTGAAATTTAACGTTTGACAGATATGTAGTGCATGTACCGGAAAACATGCCGCTGGACGTGGCGGCTCCGTTGCTATGTGCGGGAATAACAGTGTTCTGCCCAATGAAAGACAACAACTTGATGAATGGTGGGAAGAAAATAGGGGTTGTTGGGCTGGGTGGTTTGGGTCATGTGGCTGTCAAAATGGGCAAGGCTTTTGGGAACCATGTCACTGTCATCAGTACCTCTCCATCTAAAGAAAAGGAGGCTAAAGAGCATTTGCATGCAGATGATTTTGTAGTCAGTACCAACGAACAACAAATGCAGGTTTGGTACTTGTATATATATAGCCATTTTTTCATATTTATGTATATATATAATTATTTTTTTTTGGTTGATAGGCAAGGAAAAGAACTCTAGACTTTGTTTTGGACACAGTGTCAGCCAAGCACTCACTTGGGCCTACTTTAGAATTGCTCAAAGTGAATGGCACATTGGTGATTGTGGGTGCTCCAGATAAGCCCATAGACCTACCTTCTTTCCCTTTGATTTTTGGTAAGAATCACAATTTTCTTAATTTTATTGCCCATGCTATATTAATATAAGTAATTAAATAGGGGTTTGACTTTTGTTTGTAAACAGGTAAGAGAGTAGTGAAGGGTAGCATGACAGGAAGCATGAAAGAAACACAGGAGATGATGGATGCGTGTGGCAAGCACAACATTACATGCGACATTGAGACTGTCCAACCTGATCAAATTAACGAAGCACTGGAAAGGCTAGCCAAAAATGATGTCAAGTATCGTTTCGTAATTGACATTGCCGACAAGTCGTCAAATTTATGACATTGCCGGCTAGTCATCAAATTTATAACAGTGCCTGATATCATTTTATAATTGCAACTAAACAATAGAATCGGATTGAAAAATCGATTCATACACTATTCTCGTTTTATTTTTTTTGTTGTATTTTATTTCCGCTTCATTTCATTTCTGTGTATTAAACGTATCCTTAATTCCTATATTGCTTTATCCGTTCATTTCCTTGGGTTGGGGTGATGGGATTTATATGCCCTCACATAGCGAATTTCTATTTAGATTAAAGCAATATGTTCCTGATGTTTCTGAAATATTTATACTTTATATAATTAGTGAATTCAGTGTACTATGTCTCGATTCATTATGGAATTGATAGTGTCCACTTGATTACAAGAGATATTTATATATGTATGTAATGACGATCAATACATGAATATAAATAGTAATCATAAATTGTTCATAGTCGGTAATTATGGATAGACTCATAATTAATTAAGATTTGAACTTGATCCGCATTAGGTAGAGATATATTGCAAGAGCCGTTGTATGCAATTGCTCCCTATCACCGTCATGGCATTTGACTCTTAAGCATGAGATAAGTATATATGGACTCTTTTATTAATTAGTAATTACTTTGATTTGTTCGGCGAAATCTTCGGAATCCTTAGACCGGCATTTTGGGTAATTATGTAATTAATAGTTAGAGGGTTATATTTTCAATATTTGCATCATTGCTACTTGTATTTATTTTGTATTGATTATGATTGATCACAAAGTAAATTCGAAGGCCTTTGTGTGTTTTTAGACAAAATGATTTATTATATATTTATTTATTTAAATTATTATTTTTTGTCAAACAAATATTTTATTGTGATCGAGTCAGAAATAATCAATGGTACCAAAATAAATATATTAATTAAGTAGTCGGATTGATGACTTTATTTATCCGATAACTAATTATGCATAGAGGGGTCAAAGTGCAACATTGACTTAGAGGTTGTTTATTATTTAATTGGAGTTCAATTAATTTCTTTTAGTGGAGTAGAAATTAATTAATGAATTAATTGAATTGGGTCCATGAACCGGGCCGATTATTAATTCATTGTAGCCAAGAAAATAATAAGCACAATGGAATTCTCACTCATAGCCCAACTTGATATTGGAATTCTATTAGATTTGAGATATGTGAATTAGAAATGGAAAATGATTTATTGTTTCCTTTTCTTAATTTTATGTTGCCTATATATACATGGGTTCATGTATATTTTAGGAGAGACTTTTGGAAGAAAAGAAAAGGAATATATATTTTTTTCTCTCTCTAGATTTTAGGAGTTGCTTTCTCATACAGATTTAAGGAGAAGGGATCTAGTAAAGGGATTTACAATAAGTGAGAACATTCACTTTAGAGGAGAGATCTAAGGTTTACTCAAACCTTTGATGTAAGTATTCAATCTATTAATTGAATGATACATCATATTTTATTTTTGCATAAAACTTGTTTCTATGTGATGAATCAAGATCTGTGAATGAAAATCTCTCGAAAAGTTTTTAAAACTAGCACGTTTCCCAACAGTGGTATCAGAGCATGGTTTGGTTCATTACTAGAGATCAAGATTTTATGAAAATCATCATCATGGATCCAAATTTATATATGCATATGTATATATTATTATATGATCATGATGTATGTATATTTGTGATTCGATGATGTTGATGTATGTTTGGGCCATGGATGAAGCTTATAGGTTATTTGAATGTAATTTTATCTTTAGATGAATGTAATTAAGGCTTTGATTTAGCCGTTTGAAAGTTCAATGATGTAATTTAATTTTTTCCATTGTATTTCAAATTATAAATTTATTTAAAGTCATGTAATCTTCATCAAATGATACTATGAAGCTTCAAGAAGGTCCAAGAGGGTTAAATTAGGCTTAAGAAATTTTCTAGGAATTTTTATAATTTATCTGGAATTTTTTAAGGCCAAATTTAATTTTCTGGATTTTTTTTAAAATATTTTTTCTGCAATTTCCGGCAACCGGAGAGTCACCGGCGGCGAGGGCGGCGCCGGAAAGGGGGACGGCAAATGTAGTGCTTCGCGGCGCATCATGATTTGGTGCAGCCGGATCCAAATCCCTTGTATCATAGGGATTAATCAGGTGCGGCACACCAAAGAAGCAATTCGGCGCGTGAGGAGCACACGCCGGACATTAGTACATTGTTGGCGCGTATTCCACATGTGCCAGGCCAAGCATCAATCTCCACGCGCGTGTAGGCGCGTGAAGGCGCGTCCATGCGTGTGCCACGAACTACAATGCCTTCCAGGAGCGTGCGAGCGCGTGGAGGCGCAGTGAGGGCGTGTGCCACGTGCTGCTACACCCCCTAAGTGCGTTCCAAGCGTCGTTTTGCTTCTCTTAGCGCATACCAGCTCCCTACAGGTGTTTACAAGCCGTTGGTGGAAGCCCGTATAGCAAAAATAGTATTTTAATGTTAAAAACTGATTCCATTGGCCATTTAATTTGTTTTTGTCTGTTGTTTATTTATTTATTTGATCCATGGAATAATTAATTGCTGATAATTATTGTTCATGCATTGGATCCATGATTTTTTATCTAAATGGCTTGATTTATATTAATTAAATTATGAAAATAAATTAGATTTGATTACTAATTAATTTGAGGACATTTATTGGGAAACGAAAAATTATTTTTGTAAATTATTTTAAAGTGTGTGCTCAAATTAAATATTAGTGAATCATTTAAAAGTCTAGTTATTTTCTAAATTTAATTGGATTAAAATTAAGGCGTTTTGCATGCATTATATCATGGATATGAATAAATGAAAAACCCTAATTACGAATAATTAAAAATTGAGTGGGAGCGGGGATTTTTATACATTATCCCATGGCTTACGTTATTATAACCATTGTAATTAGATCTTTAAAAATAAGGCCCCACGCATGATTTGAAGAGTCTTAATATTATAAGAATGATTGTCTCATGAAAATAAAAATATTAAATATTCATTATAATTAGATCTTTAAAAATAAGGCCCTACGCATGATTTAAAGAGTTTAGATTATAATAACAAGATATTTAATGTTTTATTTTTTGTTAAAGCATTAATAACGTTATACACTCAATCTAAAATCAATAGTGTTAGTTCCCCAACGGAGTAGTCTACACTAGGTGATTTTAGAAAAGCTAAACATAATCGGATATCATTTCATATAGATAGACAAGATATTGTCTTAAGAGATATGGAAATGATGGGATTTGCCATATAGCAATAATGAACTTCGCCAACCGAATAAGTTATTGGCATATTGGTTATCCGATTTTTCATGCAGTGGGTAAGGGACCCACATATTATTATTTTAATGGAAGTACTCACCTAACAGCAAATGAATCTCAATAATAGTAATAATGAACTCCTCCATTAGGATAAGTTATTGACATATTGATTGTATGATTTATTATACTACGAAGTTGAACGACCCGCATTAATTAAAAGGGATTGTTCACCAATAATGATAATGAACTCTTATTCTATTGAGTTTTATTATATTATGTGGTTGACAAACTCATTTTAATTTAAAATATGCATGATGGTATTAATAATTCACCTTGCATATTTTATGATTGCATTCATATTCAGATTATTTATGTCTAATACATTTAATCCGCTTGCTATCATATTCAATGTAATTGGATCTCATTTATATTGACTGGAAAAGGAACTTAGATATTTTATTCACAACATAAAGGTACAAAATGTATTAATTACTCCTATACCTAATTTATTTACTTTAAGATACCCAATGAGATATTTTAATGAGATTAAATAGAGCCTATGCCTAAGTACTTTGTCAGACTTGAACACCATCAAGATAGCCTAAGGAACTCCAGTATGAGAGAGATCGTATTTTTAAAATGATTGTTTATTATTTAAAAATTTAACTGGAAGTCAATAGGGTTGACTTGTGTGGTAAGTTTCAAGTTGACATGATTATTGCCTTGTTACCAAATTGGTTTGACTCTTTTAGAGTAAACTAAATAAGGAACTAGTTTGAGTTCACACTCACTGATATTCTTATTGGTAACATATAAAGGGATAATCAAAAGTATGGTTGTTCCTATCAATCTAACCTAGTCTATACCATCTTCTTCTAGGCCTAAGTGGAAGGGCAAAGGAAAAGAAAAGGATGATAATAGGACTAGGCTAGCATAAAACATGAATATCCAAAAGGTTAAAGGGAATAAGGCAGTGTATATTGAGGGCGAAGGAAATTGTTTATTTTGCCGCTAACTATGACATTTAAGGACGAACCGTCTAAGCAATAACATGGCATAGGAAAATGTATATTTAATCATTGAGCATTGTTATGTGGTTGTATCTATTAATCCTTGATGGATAGATTCTAGAGTCACTAAACATGTTTGCAATTCGTTGCAAGGATTTCAGGAATCCAGAAGCCTCGATGATATGGATATATATTTGTCTTTTGACCTTATGCCAAGGTTGTAGTTAAGTCAGTAGGAGTATTACATCTGAAATTAGAGAGTATGAGAATATTAGTATTAGATAATTATCTTTATACACAGATGTTAGACGCAATCTTATTCTTGTTTCACTTTTATTTTGTAAAATTGGTTTTATAAAATTGAATAGATGTGCGATTGCTTCTGGTGCATTGAAAGATGGTTAATATACTATAATCACAAGCTCTTAATATTTACAGGATGTAGAAACGAATGTTGCATCTTCTAGATTGAATGTTAAGAGAAAATTTGTTATTCCTGACTCATTGTATTTTTTAATATCTATTTTTGGGTTGTGATCAGTCAAAATGAGATTCAAAGATTGGTCAAAGAAGGTTTATAACCTAGTGAGACAGGGGAGTCTAAACCAACTTCTGAATCCTGTATTGAATGATAGATACCCCTAAGGGCTTTAATCAGCCAAATGAAATAGACATAAAGAACAATTGGAGTCGGTACACACTGACACGTGTGGTCTTATAAACATCCAAGCAAGATTACTCACGTTTTGGATAAATTTACCTGATGTAACACAAGTCTTAAATTTTTGGTATATTCCGAAAGTGTCAAGACTGATGTGGAGCACAGATTAGGTAAAATTATCAAAACACTTCGATCTAATCGTAGATATGAGTATTTCTTACGATAATACAAAGACTAAATGGTCAATGAGGGTGTTGTGT